TCATTAAGAACCCCAACCGGCCGGAGGCAAACCAGTTGGCTATTTACAAGCGTGGCCAAGGATCTGAACACGGGGCTACCGTGAAACAAATCTAGTGGTCAGGGTGGGACTCGAACCCGGGAGCGGCGGATTACGAGTCCGACACTCTAACCACTCGGCCACACTGCCTCCACTTATGCGGAAATTAGTCGTAAATACGTCCTGATTTTCCTGTTTTGCTTAGTTTTACTACTTCTTTGTTCTTAATAGTCTTTATTAAGTTTAACAATAACCGGGTTAGCGTGCAGGATATCATTTCAAGTCGTTTTGTTCTCAATAAATGAAGAAGTGAAATCGTAAAAATTGGAAGAGCTCTTTATTGTTTGATTTTTTAAATCTTATGGAAATTAGGCCTTGTATCAGTCAAAAGCGATTAAAAGAAATAACCATAAACCTGTACAAGTAAGACACCTCAGCGATAGATTATTCAAACAAAACATCTCATTACCCTACAAATAACTCTAAAGAATGTAATGATTTCCAGAAAGAAAGACTTGGGTAGAGTAATTAGGAGCCACCTGAAAACTGTGATGTATTAATTACTTCACTTCAATCTTTGAATTGTACCCAAGCCGTCACATATATTCCTATTTAATTAAATTATCGTCACGCTCAGGTGGTGTGCGGCCTGCGACCGCGGTGTGTGCTGGGACAACTGCTATCTCGAGCTCATTTCTATTTGACCTCCGCGCGAGTGAGATTGGCGTGAATTCCTCGTTTCTGTATTTAAAGGAGAGAAAAGAAAAACTTTTATTAGCCGCTTTAAAGGAAAAACGGCTGCTGTAAACGTTTTTTGCTGGTCACACAAGTCTTTGACGATAAGTATCCAGCGAATTGCAGCTGATCAATCCGAAAGGTACAATTTAGTGACTGGATGCAGATTGGTTTCACCAATTAAACCACCTTGAGGCGTTTCTTAACCCCATTTTCTTGCATTTTTTGTTTTCTTATTGTAAGAGTTAAATCTTTTTATTCCAATTTCAAATAAAATTGCGTGAAACCGTTTGTTGTCTTTGCTGGAATTCCGGCCCTTCCCAGAAAGATTGCTGAACAAGAGGAACGTTAAAGGTCACACTATAGAGACTAGAAGATCGAAGGTATCACACAAGCTCATAATTTTGGTCTAGATTTTGTTCCAACGTTTTAAAACTGGAGGCTTTTTACCTGAAATCAGCCGAGGTGTTTCAATTTTGCGAGCGGCTGAGGTGATACAATTTTGCTTTTCGATGATCGACATATATACTAAATCTTGGAATTCTTCTTAACTTCAAAATTCGAAAGTGAGAGGAACCGTGACATTTGGTAAAAAGCATAGAATTGGAAAGAGAGGGGAAAGAGAACAAGCGTGAAAATAAGAAAAAAAAAAAAACCAGGCTGTTGAAGTCATCCACAATCGACTTAGCGCAAGTCTCCAAGAAACTTTGATTATGAAAAATTGGCTAGCCATTGGCGTGTGATCCTTCCCAAAACAGGGCCATGTGCTCAACCAATACTGACGTTTCTTCTCTTAACCATTCTTCGGGTCGCATGGTACTACAAAGAGAGGTGCTTACACTCGAAATCAAACCCCTTCGAACTGGTCCGTTTCAGTTCGACGTTGCTTTCCAATTGTTCCTTGAACTTTTTTACCTGGAGTATTCCCAGTACTGCCAAAATGCATTCTTTTGCTCATTGCTGCTTATGTAAAGTCGGGGATTAACCGTTGAATTCTCAGCCAAATCGGTTACAATTTCTCCGATACCGTTAAAGGCTGGGTGACTGGATTCGAACTTTGTACGAGCAAACAATATCAGGGTCCATAACTTCGCAAAGCCAAAAACCATCAACTTCAAACGCAGTATTCGGAGAAATAGCGAGAGGTGCCCTGAGGTGTGATCGACTCAGTGATTAGTCCTACCCAAAGGAAATAATTAGGTGCACTTTTTTGTCTAGTGCAGGAAAGAAAAAGTAAAAAAAGAAAAAAAAAATCAGGAGCAATTAACAGATCTGCACTATCGAAAATAGGTCCCCTCATTCGTACTACAAAATACGAAAATGTAACTTGTAAATACAGAAGTCAGAAGCTCTAAATTATTGAGGACGGGTTTATCTTCAAATTCCAGTTTTCTTCTCATCCGTATAGCTTGGCATTAGGGAAAAATGGACTTGAAACATTACTCTTCGAAACGCCACTATTTTTGAAATGTTTGAAAATAATGCACCTCGATCGTAGGCCCCACACCACCTGCGTCACGCTTAGACATTTTGTGCCACACAGAAAAATTAAAGTTTTACTTTAACTCGAAGTCGTTTCAATAAATCCGAACGGAACCTCTCTGTATATGAATGAATAATGTCTCAGTGGATGGCAATTGATGTTGCTGTTGATCCCTGAAATTTATAAGATGGAATAAAATTTAATTTTCTTTGCGTAAAATGTTGGCAGCCACCGTCTTAATTACGATTTCAGGAGACTGCAACCCGTCATCAACCTGCGAATCTCCATCCATCAAGGGCAAGCGAGTACGCACGTTTATTACAGCTCAACAGCTGAAAATACTGAAATCAGTTTACCTGAGTACCCCTCACCCTGATTTGGCCGAGCGCCGCAGCTCAGGGTCTCCGAGGTGACTGGGCTTGATATGCGAGTTATGTAAGTTTGGTTCCAAAATCGCCGTGGTAAAGAGAAAAGACAGAACCACAGAGATAAGAACCCCTTGGTAAACCATTTCAATAAAGTTGCGAAGAGGCGATCTCTTTCCCTGGATTTGTTCTCCACAATCGCTGCTACATCCTATCCGGAAGACCAGGCTCCTGGTAAGATACACTCCGATGTACGATTTGTAAAATGGGACTCTTTGCATAAGCAAGTAGAGAATGGGGGCTAGTCTCTCTGAAAGAGTTCGTCGAACGGTAAATTGAGGGCTTGTCTGTCTGGTTGAGTAGTCAGAGTCTACACTAGACTTTGTTGTTCAGAACCTAACAGAAAATAGGAAAATTATCTAAGAGTTATTGCCTCTGCTGTCCCACTCACAAGGTTTCGATGATAATAACCCTAGTTATGTCGACACACTACTTTCGGATTGAATAGTTCGTATTGAATTCATGAGGGCTGGAGCTATTTGAGGCTTGGTTCTTAGAAGCATTACATTGTATGGTAAGAAAAGATGATCTGATCATTTTCTAGAGCAAATCCGTATTCTCCGATCATGATCCAAAGAAACTATAATTTTTTTTTTTTTTTGCTCTTAAGAAGAGTTTTCCAGCTCAGGAGGTTTGTGTGAGATTTGCCGTGAAAATAGCATGCTAATCGTCAGGTGACTTGTTTGATGGCCAAATCCAAAGTAAAGTAATGATTGCATTTTATTGTTAGACTGTTCACGAACACTCTATCAAATTGAAATACGCATTTCGTGTAAGCGTTTCCCAGCTGTAGTACTGCCCAGCAAATAGAAGCTCTCAACCAGCCAGGCATAATGGACCCAATGTCTTCTTTAGCCCTGCGAAAAGTGGCGAGTGCCCCTGTGTCACCTTCTATCAATTCTGGTGCAAGATTCTCTTTTGCTTTCCCCTCACCCAGCTTTCTACCAGTACACGAACTTCTGGAGCTGTGTGAGAAGGAGCTGCGCACCCTGATGCATCAGCCTCCAGCCTGCACTCAGATGAGCCCCACCCATAGCTACTACGCTGACTCGGAGGGTGGACTCTCTAAAATAAATAATGACGCCAGTTGATGAACGATATTTTGTCTTCCCAGATACCACTAGCACACCCAACTGTCGTGCTTTCACCTCGTCCTCTCTGGCTTTCTCTTTTGATCATGTGGTGATCAATACCTTGAGTGGTACCACGCGTCTGTGAGACAAGTATATTTAGAAAGTTGTAAGCGAACATCGTGCTCTTTGTTGTCTACCTGTGCGTTTAAGTTTGATTGGCAATCGCATCAAAGAACAATATTTTATACGAAACGGTTGTAGGCAGCAAGCTCGCTTAGAAAAGAAAAGTCAGGACGTAAACTATTTTGTCCTCAAATCAAAATTTCGATCGAAGACCCTGGCTTCTGTTGAGCACCTAGGTGAACTTGGTCGACAAGTCATTTCTTAGCTACACTAGAAAGAAAAAAAAAATGGGAAAAAATTAAGCTGCTTTAATTTATACAAGTGCTTGCAATTTCTTTCACCATGCACTGTTCGGATGTTTAGTCTTTCTCTATGACCCTGCTTTTGTCAGGCAAAGCTGTAATCATCGCTAACGTGTATTTTAGTGTACCTTTCTGATAGTATTATTTCTGAAAGCACTTGACCATGTTACTAAGTTGTAAATAGGACAGTCATCGGGTTCACAGTTGACCCTGGACCGACCAACAAAAGACAAAAGCTAAAAATCAAACAACAAAAACTAAAAAACAAACTAACAAGGATAAAATAACAAATTGTAAAATTGAGGTCAAAGGCTGGGGTGATATATCACGGCTAAGTCATGTGGACAAGTTTAAAACAAAGGACTTCAACCGGTACCACTCGGTTTGGTGAATATGGGGCGTTAAAGTTGAGAAAAAGTTTTGATCTATGCAATTCAATGTGTCCCCGGCATATGCTAAGCTCTTACAAGACTGGTTCTCAAGGTGACCCTCCAATCATTTCAGTTTAATAGAAATGGCCAGTACTGTTGTAATTCCAATGATGACGACAGAAAACAGGAAACACTTACGCATGAAATTGCTATTAAGCTCCACACTTCAACTCTTGAGTTACGATGAAGGGATCTAATGATCTCTATTTCATTTCCTGAGACTCCAAGAATCATATTGCCTGAGCTAGTCTTACCCTCAAGCGAATAAGCAGGCGCTGCCGTTTCTTCTGACAACCGCTACGTTTCGTTCGCTCGCTTTTTCAACTTTCTCCATTGATCAAATTCATGGCCTGGAAAAGGCTATGAAATCTCAGACATGTGCGGGGGAGAGTCATAAGATACAAAAGCTGTTGACAACCACCTGTTTCTTGATTTATTGATGCTTTTGGCGTATTTCTTCTAGAATATCTTGTATCTTTGTGAGGGTTATTTACAACGAAGACTTATCTTCATTTAAATTGTAAATCATTATTGAAGTATTTATCACTACATGCACCTTTGCACAATCGAATAAAAATTCTCCTCTTTGCAAGCTAAATTTGCGTATGGTACATTCTGCTTTGTCTGTTTTTAAAATCTTTATGATGCTTAGAGGAAAACTGAAAAGTAAAGTCATGAAACAATGTAACAATGAAAAGCATGAAAATGTACGTACTGTCAATTTCTAAACCACTTTTTTAGAATCAATCATAAATAGCAATGGATGAATTGTCATTTGAGCTATTTTCTTATCATCAAATAAATTTAGGAATTTTCTCCATAGTAGAAAAAAGGCTCACAGTCCGTCATTTTCCACCAAGCTACTGTTAGCGACCAAAAAGTGAGACATTATTAATACTGTTGGACATGCAAGTTAACACCCGTCAACCACTGACAATCGAATCCTTCCTCTTATGCCTTTAAACGTCAAAGCTTGCTTTGATCCTCCTTAACTTTAAAATGGGGGAGCATGAAAGGCCAAAGAGGATAATATACCGTAAAGAAGAAAAAAATCAATTTTTCTGTATCTGTAGTCTTTGCAGCGAAGTATCTCAGTTATTGCAGGTTTGATACTCTCTCCAGTACGCAATATTTAATAAATACAAATAGTTGTTTCAGCTTCTGCTGGGCCCGATGCGAATACTGAACCATTGGGAGTGAAACAGCATGTATGAATCTCGTCTGTATCACACTAAAGCAGAAAGGAGATAAAAATACAAGTAACAAAATAGTTTGATTCGAGCCAGGGAAGATTTCGTGCAGCATTTAGGAATTAAACTGAGCGATATAAAAACAAGATGTATCAAAGCGATCCTCGCAGTAATAAACCCTACTCATGTAGTAGTTGAAATAAGGCCTGAAATAATTCAGCCCCGTACGGGATCCGAACCCATGACCGCTGCGATACTGGTGCAGTAGGAGGGTCGCGGTTTCATGAAACCGCAGTGCACATTTGTGAATTTCATATATTCGAAATTAATTGATAAAAACAAGATGTTTTGGCGAAGACATTTTAGTGCTATGAAATGCTAAAAGCGGTTGGAAACGTTATATGAACGTAGAATTGAAAGTATGTAATCATATTGGAATAAAATACAGAGAGGGGTGGAACAAAAGGCAATCTTTTTGATAAAAATAATACAAATGCGGAACCGATGTAGAACTAAGTATCCAGGAAAATTTCACCAAATTCACCAGCAAGATCCAATTTGTTTCTTTTCACTTACCTCAAGTTCTTTTAAACACAAGGCAGTTTCTACGTCCCAAACGCGAACCTAAGGTGAAATGAGAATCGAAAAGTGGTTTTCGATTAATGAATTAAGTTATCTGATATCGTATTAATCGCTATTTTCGGTTTGTAATTGGTCTACAAAACTTGCAGCACCCTTAACCAATCAGAAGAATGGCAGAAATTTCCAGGGGATTGTTGGCCACTAGCGTTTTCCCGCGCCTTTGGCAGTTTGCTTGTTTTAAAGTTGAATCCTTCGTGGTTCTTTGCGAGATTTGTATTTTAAAAGCGGTAAGATTGATTCTCGACACTAAAATAAAACGCGCATGCTCTCGCGTAAAACATTTCCCCGACACATTGGCGAAACAATAATATTTCTTGGTTAATGATATCCAGTCTTCGAACTCGACTTCGAACACTCTGAGTTACGGTATTTTAAGCAACATTTTGTCGCGAAAAAGAGGGAATTAAAAACAATCTTTTACCATATAAAAGCATACAAAACAAGTAAAGAAAAACTTAGAAATTTAACGCCAAAATCCCAATAATACTGTACTATTGATCACATGGATTTTCAAATGCCAGCAACAAAATTGAAGTGCTTCTTTACCGTTTGGTCATCGGAAGCGGAAGCCAAACGTTTACCATCTTCCGAAAATGAACATGCCTAAAATGAAAGACAGAGAAGTTGCACATGGCTTGTTAAGCCCTTAAAGAAGTTTTTGATGGCAGGTATTTGAACTCGCATGATAAATTTGTTCAACTGGTGGTACTCAAAGCTCTAGACAAGTAACAAAGTTGCATGTTTTTCCAGTAGTCTTCAAATGCTTAGGCAGGGGTTTCATTAAGGACCAGGCACCGGGAAAATTGACCGGGTGTGAGGACGGTTTTGCCCACCTGATTTGACGGTCTGGAGGAAAGTTTATCTTATAAAGAAGTTCAGTTCAAAGAGTTTTGCCTGCCTGTGAAAACCAGTTGCCCCCCTGCAGAAAACATTAATGAAGCCCCTGCTTAGGAGTTCACAAAAGAAGTTTTAAAAAACAATTATAATAGCCTAGGTTAATGGTCTATGAATGGTTCACCTGAACCCAACCAGTGTGCCCTTCCAGTACATGTAACAGGACCCCTGACTGACTGTCCCAAAGTCGTAGAGTACTGTCCCAGGATGCCGAGGCCTAGGAGAAGCATGCAATTTAAGAGATTTAGAAGAGGAGTTTCCAAGAGTGGAATCTCTATGGAAAATGATGTCGATTCCTAAAGGTCCAGTCTGATACAAAGGAAAAGCAAAGAAATGTTACAGAGGCTTCAAGTGAAACACTAAACTCTGAGAATTTTTAGAAGTAAGGTGTTTTACAACGGTGCATTTTCTATTAAAGATACATGAACATGAAAGGAATATAGATTTGCTCAAAAGTGGCATTTAAAAGGGTAAAGATGTGTAACTCAAGACAGAATAAAGGAAAAGCAAAGAGATGTCAAAAGAGTCATGCACTAACCAGTAATCTGTCACACGAAAATGCCACTGCATGAATATTACTTCTGTGTCCCTTCAGACACTTGACATCCATTTTTCCACCTCCAAGTGGCCACAGACGAATTGTACAATCCCAAGAACCTGTTGCCTGTATATCAATAAAAAAAAATACACATCTGTATTTTTTTTAATTATCAGTTAAAATCAAATTTCAGCAAAGCTTTATCTAGAAAGAAACAATTATTTTGACATATTTAAAATCCTTAATTAATTTTGGTCATCTGATGACGAAATTATAAGGATTCTTAAAAATTTATTTACCACAGTGGAGCTATTGATAGAGAATGCACAGGCCTGTACAACATTACGATGACCATCCAAAACATATGCAGCAACACCAGTCTGAAGGAAATAAGAGATTCACAGATACAGTAACAGCAAGAATCCCACCAATGGAAACCTCTTTTGTTTGCAAGCAAGCTGAATTGGTTATTGTACTGGTCAATTATTAAGAAATCAGTCTGTGCCAGACTTAACAGTTGTTTAATAATATATACCAAACTACCGGGCTGATTCATATGACTATGTCTGTATGTGGCGTGACAATGAAGTGAACAATAAGTGAAGGATCATGCTTGCATATTTTGTGGTTCAAAGTTTTTCCACAGTGTCTGTTTACTATTATTTTTTCAAACTATTTTGGTTTTGTTAATTTTTTTTTTTTATCAGAAAAAGAAAACAAGTACAAGATTAAGGAAATTAAAAATCAAACTAGTTAATAACCAATACACTATTTGAACCACAACACATAAGTGCTAGTACATAAAAGAATTCAAACTAATATCAGGGAAACCTTCAAGTTCCAAACAATTGCTGATGTGTCCCAAGATCCAGAGCACAAATATTCGGAGTCAGGTGAGAAACAACATGTTTCAACACTATGGGTGTGTCCTATAAAAAAAACATTTTTTTCAAATTCAGGTGATTCCTTGAGGATTATATTTTCCGTCAATGATTCTTGAAAATTAACCTTAGCTAGTAAAAACCTTCTCAACTGATCTAAATGCAAATTTCTCTCACAATTATTTATCAAGCCAACAGATGAAATTCCGAATTCTCAGCACTGTAGACTGTATTTATTAAGAAAAACATTGCAGTTAAAAAAGTGAATTGCATCTCTTTTACAAGTAAGAAATAAGAAATGATCTATAACTACTACTATATAATAAAATTACAAAGACGATTACTCTTAAAAATCACTTAAATGCTTCCCTCGCACTCTTAACAATGAAATTGTATGGTCATTAAAAGAGAGAATTAACAGTAATGTTAGACCTTGAGAGTGAAAAGGTCAAGATGACTTACCTTCCAGGCTATAGACCTCTTTCCCAGAGCTACAATTCACAACTTTGACAGTATGATCATACGAAGCAGAGGCAAACAGCTTTCCATCAGATGAAAAACACACACATTTTATTGCACCTATGTGGCCCGGCAAAGAAATCTTCAATAAGAAACTAGCAAGAAACAATCATTTCCACACTTTAACTATAGTAATAAAAGATTTGGTGATTTTGCCAACACACGCACAAGAATTAAGAACAAATAACACTCCTGTATTTGAAAGCAAATTGTTAGAGATAAAAATGCTAATTCTCATATGAGACAAACACTCGTACCAAAAAACAAAAACACTGAATACCCCTTAGCCATCATCAATACCTGCCTCTTATTGTAATTCAAGGTATCAAGGAATACAAATAACCCTTAAACCATTGTGCATTTTAAATCTTATTTAAAACAAAATTTGATCAGACTTATTTTTCACTTTCAAATAAGGATCTACTCAATGAAAATTTTTGTCTCTCTTTAACAGACACTTCTTATAATATTGACCGAGAAGAGAGAAGGAATTGTTGAATACGATTATCATTATGCATGTCAAGCATTACCAATCAGAGAGACATAATAAGCTCCATATGGTTACATAGAGCACTGCATTGTCACATTTCACCTTCATGACTGTCCAAAGTAAATAACACTTTGCCTGTCTTTGTATCCCACAGTTTGACCAGCATATCATCTCCTCCTGTAACAATTCTTGACCAGTCAGAAGAAAATGCACATGTATTCACCTATTAACAGATATTCAGGTTACTGTTTTTAATATACTTGTAAGTTTTCCCTGAGGTGATACTAATTGTAATTTCCCACATAACTTCTTACTGACAAAATCCTTTTTCACTATGAACAAGGTGGTAACAGATTTTACCACAATTTCCCATCTTTTTCCTTTGTTTTTCTTTCCTTTTTGGTGCAATTCTTTCATCATCCTTAAAATGCTACATCAATCAATGCCAGTTGTGCGCTTTTCTCTTCAAGCTTTGTTTCTGTTTTTTTATCTCGCTCTTGAAGAGGATCTGGGACAAGTTTCAACTGTGCTAACTGAACCAGGTTCATACACGTACGTTTTATAAAACTGCTGGGCCCGGTTGTTCAAAGAGCGGATAACACTATCCAACAGACAAATCACTACCCTGCAGATAAGTGTTACCAAAACATACTGTGCTATCCACCCAACAGAGATTTGTTCAGTGGATAGTGTTATCTACCCTTTGAACAACTGGGGCCTGATGATAATTGAAAATTATTTCATTTGATATACAAAAACCTTGTTGCAATTGGTTTAATCACAGATCAATTGATTACTACAGGTAAAGAAGGGTATTTATCACTCATACTTCATCTTTATGGCCGATTAATGACCGGAAATTGACTTTCGTTAACTCTGCTGGTGATACAAAACCATTCTCGTTGTATCCTGCATTATCTTCGTCCTCCAGGCCATCCAGATCAACAACAGTGAGCGAATCTTTCTCATCTCTCCTTTCTGTTTCGAATGATCCTCTTACGTTTGCCATCACTTTTTTTCTTTTTTTTTTTTTAATAGATATCAGTTCTTCATCTAGGACTTGAAAAAAAAAAAAAAAACTTGTGTGCGCAGAGAAGACTTGCCAAAACACAAGACTGAGATCAGTTACATATCACTGATCAGAACCCAAAAGTTTTGTTCTTAGTATCCATATCTGTCCTGTTCAGAAGCAATCTGTAAAGCTAAGATCCCCACACGCGATGTTTTGAGGGTACCAAAATGAAAATAAATCAATTTTCAGAAGCCATTTCCCGATTTCACGCAGTTGCAATCGCATTTCTAACGTTGTTATGCAGAATCCGCCAGGCGGAACTCCAAAGCACCAAAGCGATACTTTGGGGACTAAAATCTAGTGTCCAATATCTCTCCTCCATACGCGTTTTAAATATTTTTGTCACATGTGGGAACATGTGGCGAATTATGCGGCAAGAAATGCTAAGAGTTTACCTTTAATTTTTAGCGCTTTAGCGCGATTGAATCGCTACAAGAAATCCTAACTTTGTTTTCTTAAATCTGCGAGAGAAGATTTTTAATCGGAAGAAATACGCATTTGGTGGGATTTATCTGGCTTCCTGCTGCATTGTCTCGCCTTTCAACAGTGTCAAATTGTGTCAACTTCAAGAGAAAAGCGAGGTCAGGAAAGCTCTTTATCGTGAATTCTCACTGGCTGGTTTGTTGTTTTAGTTACCACAGCTTCCATGTGTGGTTTGTTATGCTTTTCACGCTCGGAAAATTTATTCAATTATTCTAATATTCAATTATTCTAATATTCTTATAATTATTCTGCTGGCAACGCATCGCAGCACCGCATCAAAGACCAGTCTGCATATTATTTCCATATTATTAGGATTGCACGACAGGAAACCGTTTTGCGCGAACGGAAACCTTCTGTTGACATCAATCAAACGACAGTTTTTAAAAACCAATCAGACAGTGCGTTATCAATACCATCTGGTTGATACATTGGCGGTTACGACAAGCTCAAAGGACGGCGTGAATTCCAGTGGTTAAAGAAGACTGGTTAAAGGCATCACGGTGTAGAAGATTTGACGACCCTTTTGGGACTTAACTTCTGGAATATTGTGAGTGGAACTAGCACGAGGAGTTTAGTAATCTGTTAAGCTACAAATTTGGTGTTCTTCTAGTGGATCAATCAATGTAAGATCTGCTGAGAAGCTTACAACTGAAAGTGGCTCTGCTCTCGTATCCGGCTCAACCTCACAGCTTGCTCTAAGTTTTCGTAGCGTTGATATGGCTACAGAAGACCTAAGAATCAATATCAAAGAGCTTCAGTGTGACAGACAGCGACTTTCAGGATTAGTTTTCGAACCTCTTCAAGCTATCAAGGATTTTGTGGCCCGAAACTTAAGGTTGGACGAAGTAGATCACATAGTCTCACTTCTTCGCAACGCTATTCGTAGTGACACGTTGAGAACCGTCACGGACGGCGAAGCTCTGATCGCTGTTCTCAATTTGTATTACGGAAAAGATAATCTACGAGTTGTGCTGCGCCTTTTGCAGAAGATAAATTGTCACGATCTCCTCCAAGTAGTCAGTGATTGGGATAGTAGCAATAACCCGGTGCATCCACGAGTTTTCCAAGGTACGTCATCGTCCGTTTTGTAGCCCTTGTTTATATTTTGACCCGTACGTTATCCGGTAATTTTATTATACAAATGGTGTTATCATGCTCCTTGTGTGTAAATAATTTAAATGGCTTAGACGCTCTCGTGAAATTTTTTTAGATTAGGCATGGCATGAGAAATTTTTCAAATACTACGATCGCCGTGAAAACCATTAAAACTGGCAAAAATAAACACGAGAAAGTGAGAAGGTGTTTACATTATTTGCATTTTTCACGTCCACCTAATGCCCCTAGCGCTGACAGTACTTGAATAAATTAAATGCCCACACGATCGGGTTCTTGAAATTCAATTTTCCAGTCTTACCTTTTGCTTCTATTAGGGAAAACCCCTTTGAGAAATGCAGCACGAAAGACAAAGTGTAGTTCCAAAATGGTGTTTTCTTATTTCCTCTCTGTTGACAAGCCTGGATCATTTCTTTGATTTAAATATAGTTGTAAAAGTTACATTTAAATGCTAATAGTATTAATGTTTTGCTGGTATATACTAATTTTGAATATTCTCGTCGTAGTTATGAATACAATTTGCATATTTAATACATTTCTATGTTTTTCTCATTTTAATTTGAGGAGTAATATGATGTATATCTCATTAGCTGTAGTGGTACCGTAGTAGTGTTACTGAGTATTTTTATGAGTTGCACCATATTTTCAAGAGCCCAAAGGGCGAGACAAAATAGAAACAATGAATAAAAGTAAGTTATTTATTATCCAACTCCCTTATTTTGTGTGCATTTTGTACAAGGGAGGAAAAGCGAAGTATATTTGTACATCAATTCATGCGTGCATCATTTGTACTCTACTAAGTGCAGTTGGATAATAAGAAATGGTAATGTAGTTTTAATTACAGGATTGCAGTAAAATAATATTGAAAAGTTATAAGGAAATAATTTATTTATTGTCTTCTATTTTTTTCTCTTCTTGCCTTTTTTTTTCTCAGAGTGTGGCTACTTTCCATTATGGATTAGGATCAGAAACCATTTTGCATGGTTCTCTGAGAACAAAAAGACAATTTTGCAGAAGATCAGAAGACTTTTCCAAATCCCTGAGATTGCTCAAGGTGACCCTGGCTGGGAAACAGTTATATACATGGGAGTTTCATTTGGTGCATCAGATCTTCTGGTCTATGTATTGGTGCCTGAGTGTTCTCGTAAACATGTACGTTCCTCTCTTGGAAGAACTGATGTGTGTCTCACTATGCAGCAGTTAAGCATAATTGGAATTTACTTTGGACGGAAGACTAGAAGAAATGGTTATGGTGATGACCTTTCCCTTACCAGCTTTACATCCATGAATGAGTCCTTCCAAGGTGACCTTATTCAAAACCATGAAGATCAGCAGATTTCAAATCACTCCAAAGCTACAGGTGAAATAAAGAATGGATGCTATAATGGTAAACAGGAACAAAATCAGAGCAGTTTGGGTAGCCCAAATTTTTCACAATCAGTTCTATCACCAGAAAGAGGGAATGCAAAAGTTGTGCTAGCAAACATGGGTTACATTGATACTGCAGCTCCTGAAGACAGAACAGACTTGCCCATCAGGGTAGTGCGGCCAAAAATAATGTACATTCACCACAATGTCCAGGCTGCCATGGATGTGGAAGATTCACCAATGAATGTTAAAGCCATACCTGATAAAGTACATTGTGTACATGATCAGAGCATTGTAAAAGAAAGACCAAACATAATTGGCGACAATCCACAGAGGTTTAAGGATGACACACTGTCTCAGAGGTCATCTCCAGTTCAATTGGATCGGCATCATTGGAAAAAATATAGAGAGCCAATTCTGGCAAATGAACGTTTGATTGTACCAGAAGTCAAGCAGAGTAAAGAGCTACAGTCTTGGAGCATTCCTGATGAGCTATTCTCCACAACTCAAGACAACACCACCAGTGACAGTCATGGAGATTGGTCACTTAACATTTCCTTGAAAAATGAGAATGGCCAGAAGTTGGAAGACAATGAAAGAGCTGAGAGCAGTAAAAAGAGAACATCTGTTGTAGACTTTTCTTTTGAAGACAGTTATGTTAATGGGGAGAGAAGCTGGTACTCTCAAAGTCCATCTAAAAAATCACACACTGGAACAGCAGCTGTGAATTATGGCAACATGGCGGCAAAATCAGAGGTGATTCCATTAGAAAGAACAACTTCCAAATTAGAAAACACTAAAAAATTCACTTCAACAGCAACATTCCAAGTCAGTGGAAGGCATGGACATAAAAATTTCCAGAAAGAACCTGTGGGTTTTCTGAATGGCAAAATTTATAAGACAGAAGCCGTGCCATCCTTTAATATGAGCCAATCAGATTTTGATGATAGGAGAGTGGTGACTAAAAGTAACCAGAGGATTCAAAGGCAATCGGAGCCTGGTTCCACCTGGTATGAGGATGCAGTTTTAGAGGACTCCTTATACAGATCAATGATTCCTGAACCAGAACCGGAAGACACACGGCAATTTTATCTTGATGAAGATTGCTATCAAGGTAACATGAAACCACAGGAAGAGACTGCTACTCCAATAATTTACTCTGCAAGGACTACAGATGGAAGAGCTCACACCCCAATATACTCCCCTCCAGAAAGTTTTCGTGATGCCCCTGTAAGTGGAAAGCTGGTGATGGTGAAAACTACACTTGTTGATCAACCAAGGCATCAGCCATCCATAGTCTCAAGGGGGCATGACAATATGGTTCAACATGATAGGGAAGACTCACAGAGAGACACTGAGATTCAAAGGGAGTTTCCCAAAGCAACTGGCTTCACATCTGATGGTTTCTATAAGCCTTCAGATCATAGCTCCAGAGAATACAATCAATATAATGATTATAGACCTAAGAACTTACATGAACATTCACAACAGTTTTTAGCTCTGAAGGCAGAGAGTGAAGTGTTGTCAGATTATGATGACAGTGTGTTTACTGATCATGAATATCGAGATGACACAAGTGGAAGATTTGCTGTGGTGCCCCCTCCCTATGTACCTCCACCAGAATACAAAAAGATTTTAAGAAAGTTGGATGGAAAATCAAATGACGATTCTATCAGCACTGGTAAATTCATTCATCGTGTTTTAATATAGTAATACAGGGCCCAGTTGTTTGACAGCCAATTAGTGCTAACCCAGGGTTAAATTTTGATCCAGGTTTCTTTATTTCTCTATTCAAAAGCCTTTTTTATGATGATTGTCCCCCTTCTTTTGAGAGCATCCAATCATCATATTGCAGACAAAAGTAGTCAAACTGAATTTTCATCTAAAGCTTTCATATCTTAAATCAGATTTCACACGAACCCTGGGTTTTCTTAACCCAGCTTTAAACAACGTGGCCCTGTACAGTACTAAACCATGGTTCACAAGTAAGGATTACTTTTGGATTAGGGGAGGGGTAAGTGCACAGTTGCTCAGATACCAACATTGATTCCACTACCCCTCTCCTGACCCAACAATAGTCAACTGATAACAAGTAAGGAGTAATTTTGGATTAGGGGAGGGGTAAGTGCACAGTTGCTCAGATACCAACATTGATTCCACTATCCCTCTCCTGACCCAACAATAGTCAACTGATAACAAGTAAGGAGCTAATTTTGGATTAGGAGAGGGGTAAGTGCACAGTTGCGCAGATACCAAGATTGATTCCACTACCCCTCTCCTGACCCAACAATAGTCAACTGATAACAAGTAAGGAGTAATTTTGGATTAGGGGAGGGGTAAGTGCACAGTTGCTCAGATACCAAGATTGATTCCACTACCCCTCTCCTGACCCAACAATAGTCAACTGATAACAAGTAAGGAGTAATTTTGGATTAGGAGAGGGGTAGGGGGGCAGTTGCTCAGATATTGCCATTGATTCCTTGACACAAGTTACAGTACATTGTTTAACCCTTTCACTCCCAAGATCTGATCAGTAATTAATTCTCATTACTCTCTGCTATACAATTTTTATTTTGTGAGTTTGGGGAATTTGGTATTGGATCAACCGATGATCCCCTTCTTGATATTCTTCTATATTCTCTTCACTTGTCTGCTTGATATTGTATTGATGTTGTAAGGAGAAATTCTCTCCTGATCACTCATGGGAGTTAAAGGGTCAAAGGCATGTGTACGGTAACAAGACGAACATCTAACAGTTCAATTTATTTTGCTGTACATAGTAACAAAATACATGGTGTACATGTATATCTGTATTGTGCATTCAATGCCTTAGGGGCCAATTCTCTGAGATTTGGAGACTAATGTGATACTTTAATACACAGTTGAATGAAATATCAAAGTTTTATATAGTGGTAAGCTAATGTCTTATTATTTTAGATACACATAGTTCAGATCATGTTCACAAGAGTCCTCTCCTGTCAGCTGCAAGCATAAGTTCAATATACAAAGAGGTGAGTATGTTTTCTCAGTAAGAGATATATGCAAATTGTATTAATTATTGAACATGTACGTTTTCACTTAAGCATACTAGTTATTAATTTAACGTGGTTTGATTTGCAGAAAGAAATGTTTCTCAGCAGAGAAGAATTACAGATGAGTATAAAGGGGGCTGAGGATAAAGAAGTAGAAAAACAGGTTAGTATGAGTATTTAAATTTTTACTTTTAAAGTGAAGTTCCATTGATGCTTTTTACCCCCCTCCGCTGTTATCCCTCTCCTCCAAATTTTTCGGAAAGTAGTAGTGATACATACCCTATTTACCCTATTAAGACTTAAGAAGCCGAGAAGTTGCTTACTTGCTGGGATATGGTTTTCATTTTAGATGGAACTTTGTAAAGATCTCATGGTTGCTGCCAAAGCAGGGGATGAGGACGAGGCTAAGAGAACCATTGACGAAGGAGTTGATATGAATTATCAAAATGAGGTGCAGTGCGTGTCCATGTAGCTTCTTGACTTGTGATTGCTGTTTGTATGAATGAGCTCAGTAAATAAAACAGTTTCCTTCCGTGTGTAACACAATTTTGACCATTCAGAATAGTGGGAAAAAATAACTTAGAGCCAACGAGAACTCTGTTGCAGTTTTTCATCCGGCTTGTTGGGAAGCCTTGGCGCGATTTTTCTTTTCTTTTTTTTTTTTTTTTGACCCATGAGCCATACTTGACCGATCTAGTGGTCATTTTACTCAATGCCCTCAAAATTGAGAGGCCTAAGTTTACTGCACAACAAGTATCCGCAGAAAATAGTAGTTGGCTGTTCGTTTACACACAAATGTACAAATGTGGGTAAATGAAGAGATTTACATCGAACCTTCACATTACACACGGTCACGAAATTGAAGGGATGAAAATAAGTTTAATGCCATCAGTTTCAAATAGATTAATAGTGATTTCAATAACAACTCTCAGTGGTTGAGTTTTTCCTCATTTTCCAAATTGCAAAGGTAGGAACTCTTGAAGGTAGCGAGGCTTTTGTCTTATCGTGGCTCAACCCAAGGCTGTTCAAAGACTCTCAGTAAGAAACTTAACCATTGACAATCTTTCTCTGTTTGCAGTTTGGTCAGTCTGCAATGATGGTTGCCAGCTGGGAGGGGCATCTTGGAATCGTAGAAGCCTTGCTAAACGATGGCGCTGATCCTAATTTACAAGACGGGGTAAGATTCTACGTTACAGGTTCTGAACTTTTAATTTTTTTCCTGTGGGACAATTACATGTTATAGGGCTCTGCCCTAGTGGTTTAACTGCAAAGTTTCAAAAAAAAAAAAAAAAAAAAAAAAAAAAAAAAACATTTGAAATTATTCAGTGATAAACAAGAGTATCAGTAGAGAACGTAGAATTGTGATGAAGTTTTTAAACTTATGATCTTCTTGACGTTGGGAAAGGTAACGTGATTTGTAATCGATGCTTACCTTCTTATAAAAGTTAAATTAAAATGAAAGAAAGTGGTGTTCGAAAGGTAATACCTATCTGGCCGTTCCCGTTTCCTTATAGTATGGTAAGACAGCTCTGCACGAGGCGGCCATCAGTGGACAACATGCTATTGTTCACCGTCTCATCCCTGGTGGAGCGAACGTCAATCTGGCTGATGAGGTGTGTATATTAATTTTATTTCGAGATCACGCACAGCAACATTTTCTTTTTATGTATATACCTGCACACTGTAGGAAACCCTCAGTGACAAGCCTTCGTTCCCAGACATGAATGATTTCTAGGGCTTTCTGTACTGTAAATGTGAAGATTTTCTTTAAGGAAACCTTTATTTTAAGAATACCTTCATCTAAGGGACATAAATTTCGATAAACTTTGTGTCAGTCACCTTGAATGAAGGAACACCAATATTGAAAGGAAACCGTACTTAGGGTTTCCTCGTAATGAAGTTTCCCCTGTTAGTGTACAACACTTTACCCTTCAGTGCTCTTTCTATCAATGTTGCGCTCCAAAACGAAGAACGTATTTTCGAAAAAATGCTCGCCATGACTTGAATAAGAGTGCTGCATCGTGGGCTCGAAAAAACATAGGCGAAATCTAAACGAAAATTCGGGGTTGAACTTGATTTCTTCCCCACGCCAACCCCTGACCGACTTATAAGGTACCTCTACCCCTACCAAAGGGCTTTGCATCCTCTTGAAGATACTTGCAGTTGTTGTTTTTTTCTGTCCCGCACTTGTGACATTAAACTTCTTTATTCTTTAGGTGACTCACTCTGTTCTTCCTACAGGAAAAAAGAACCCCTCTCCATTATGCCGCCATGAGAGGCAAGAGACGAATAGTAGAGGTTCTGTTGCTGTTTGGTGCGAATGTTTCGCTTCTCACAAAGGTAAATTGTGGACATTTATAAGTATTTTTTATCGTTTTAGTTTCTTTTCAGTATAATAACTGTATTTATTTTGTTCCTGCTTTGACTTGTCAAGGACGGGGAATCTGCAATTGAATTGGCGTATTGGTACCGCCATGACGATATTGTAGCCTTGTTGCAGTCCACTGGCGACAAAGTGAGTATGTTACACTGCGGACGGATTTTTTCCTTAGCTTATAACAAATCTCATCATGTTCTTGAGACTGATCCATGAAGGTTCCTTTTAATGGTATTGCAGAGAACCCGTAGAGAAATGGACAGTCTGATACGAAAACAGAAGATCCGCTCTGCAGCATCTTTACCAAACTTGTCCAAGGTCAGTCGGAGTTATTGTATCACCCAATCCTTTCTCTATCGCGTCTTCCAGCATCGCTCTTTGTTCAAACTTCCCTCAAGATGTTTTTACCCATGTGCAACTCAGGATGTCGTAGCGAGATACGCTGGGAAGACATGCTTCTTGTTTTTCGTCTCTCGTCCCTTGAGGGGAGCAAACATACTGGAGTCTCGTATAATAACAAAAAATGGGGACTTCTGCGAACATCTGCTACCTCTGTCAATGCCTTGATTACCTCACACTTTGATTCAAATATTTTGCAAACTTGGCACAGTTGAGTGCCACTCGAAGGTCATTGGAAAAGTGAAATAAACAGATGGGTCACCATGATTGTTTGCGGTATGCATGGCTGTTATCCTGAGTGGTCTTTACTTAGTTTCATCGGTGTTTCCGAGCATTTATCACTGATGAATGCTCGGAAATTGTTACTCAATCGAACACTATTTACTGTGGGTCAGCTTATTTGTCTTTTCTCCTCAAACCTTTCTGGAGGTTGTCTCTTTTTCTAGGCACTACTAACTAGATACTCTTGTACCGTGTTCTACGTTATTTTTTAGGCGTCATCGATGAAAGAACTCTCCCGAGCCAGGAGCCGTCCTGATCTGCGCAAAAAGAAATCTGTTTGCCCCATCCAGTAAACTCGCATAACAGCCGTTTACCGCATGGCTAGACCGTGATTTTTAGCTGGGATCGAAGCTCCAGTGTTCGTTAGGTTTTCTCAAATCTTACGCTTCTAGATCTGGAAGAAATTGTTTCAATTCCAACAAAATTTGGGGGCAACGAGTTTAATTTACACTTACGATGTGATACATACATTTTTTTTATTTTCATCGTACCACTGGTTACATGTTTGTATAGGTATGGGTTCTTACAGAGCTATTCTCGAACAAGGGTGTGAATTGTAACTAAGGGAAATTCACCATCGATTTAGCGCAGTAAATAGTTTTTTACAATGTTTTACGAAGCAGATGGCTCTTTTTAAGGAATTTTGAATGTGTTAGAGTTTGTTTCACGTATTTTTACAGATTTTAAATCAATTTATGAGATAGTTCTAGGTATCTGATAGTTTTATAACCGTGGGCTAAAGTTAACACTTTTGTATTGGATAGATTTAAAATTCTGTAAGGTTGTCTATGATCATTTTATGTAGATTTGTAATTTTCTGAGGTTTTTCTGAATATTTTTCTGTAAATTGGAAACGGGTCAGTTATAAAGCTAATTAAAATGATTTCCTGATTGAGGCAGTTTGCGGTTATTATTAGAGAGCTTAAGCACCAGACGTTCTTGAGGTCACGAACGCCTACCGGAAGTCATTAGAGGAACTATGTACATACTGCGCATGTCATGACGTTCGCGTGGCCACGTCGCAGACGGCAGAACGCCACTTTTCAGGTTGAAGGTAGGACGCCACAAAAATATGCTGTTATTTTGTTTATAGGAGATAAATTATTGTCTGAAAACCTTAAAAAGATCTTCTGCTTTTCATTAAGTGATTAAAAAACGTTTTCGTAGCGCGTAAAGTGGTTTTTGCTTAATCGATAGATTAAACGGGATTCGACAATGGCAGACAATCTTCTCGCCAAGTCTGGGTGAGTTAAGTCATTTGATTTCATGTGCATTTGAATCATCAAATGCAGAACTAAGATTTTTTTAAACCGGGTTTAAGCTTATCATAAATTAGTTTGAGCGATAATTTAGAATTAAGACACTTAAGCGACAATTAGATACAATAACAAGGTGCAAAATGAGATAGATGATTGTCTTTCTGCATCGGTTGTATTTTGTAACTGCACATTGTATAACGTATGCATGCCTGTTAGGTTTTGAGCAAGCGACTACAAACATAAGATTAACAAATCTCGCTGTGGTTAACGAATTTAGAAAAAGAGAAATGGTCCTCTAGGCATCCAGATCATGCACTGAGAACTTCATGCTCAGTCGTTTGTACGCATTGTTTACACAACTATGAAGTGGTAAATTTCAAGTCGCCTAATAAATATGAAAGACGAATTATTCATTCTGTCAAGAGAGTGGGGTAAAGAAACTTATTCCCTTGCTCATTAAGGTCATATCTCTAGCATCTTTTAGCGAAGACATGTTAACACGGGTAGAAGTCACTGTCTGAAAAACGTCGACTGCTTAACCTTCCTATTTCGCACCAAGAACGAAGGCCTCGATCCAGTCTTACGCGGCCTCTCTGCCGTTCGTGTTGTCAAAAACGTCTAGTGCTTAAGCTCTCTATTATTATCATTAATATTATTTTATGCTATATTGCTAGTAGCGAGAGTAATTTTCGCCTGCGTTCGAATGAGCCATCTCGTTTTCCATCGAAACCTCATCCCGCCGTTACTTTATTTGAAAAAATGAATGGAACCAAGAGAAACCAGCGCTTAAGCTCAGACACACAGCTTAATTCGAAATCCGCATCATGAAGTGTCTAGGAGAATTGCTACGCTACCTACATCAGCTCTAGAACGTGGATGGGTTGCTAGTTCATGGTAGTGAACTCCCCTGCGCCACTCGAAATTTCTTTTCCCCGACAGATAACGGGTACCCGCTTATACTCTTGGGTACAAGAGATGATTTTTAAGTGATCCACAAATTGATCCTCAATGACTGCTGGACGCCCAAATGACGTTTCATTCAGTGTATGTCAAAAACTGTCTTCCCGCATGTGTCCCTTAGCTTCCTGTCTTCCTGTGCTTGACGCCTAAGGGAAAAGGATACCATTTCCAGTTGGATTGCATAAGAATTACTTTGATGCACTTAGCAGAAATATTAATGAGTGGCAAGAAATGACCACGTGTTTCCGCGAAGTTTCCACGTTTTCATTGCGGACAATAAAAACTCACGTCTGACCGGGAGGAAGTTGGGAACGAAAACTATCTCAAGATGGCGGATGAAGTGAATGGTTTGAATATATAGAACCTTATCGTGTGGTTTGTTACCAAACTCTGGACAGAAACGGGGTTCACGTTATTCTTTTTCAAGGTTATGGCTCTCTTTTGGTGATATCTGAAAGCTACGAGCGACGAAAATCATCATAACGATCGGAGAGCCCGTTTCAAGCTCTGTATGACATAATACAGGAATAATAGTGTTATATGAAGTAGTTTTTGGGGCTTCCCCAGAATGCCTCAGGAGTTATTAAACGCATGGTTCGGTTTACTGTCGTTTGTAGTGATAAACATGGTGTCAGGAGTGAACAAGTTCAAGAAAAACGTTCATTAACAGTAGAAGATTGCGAGGTGAGCGATTTTATGTAAAGCCAGTTCGCTGTTGCAGTATTGCAGCGCTCTACGCACCTAACATGTGCTTTCGAAAGCACCAGAACTGTGAGTACAAAGCTTCTTTTCATCATGTCAGTCTATACCATACCGCCACCGCCGCCTATGAATGTAAAGGACGGTGTTTCACCCAATTGGAAATTGTTCCGACAAGCATGGGAATATTATGTTACTGCCACTGAGTTAAACAAGAAGTCTAAGGCAGTTCAGGCAGGTGCACTATGTAGCATAATGGGTTTGGAGTGTGTGAAAGTAATGAATAGTCTTACTACTCTAACCGTTGAAGACAGGAGTGATCCTGCGAAGATTTTGACCGCCTTACGCAACCATTTCATGCCTCAAAAACATTTATTGTTTGAAAGAGTCAAGTCGATTTGCCAATTAAACGTAGCATGAAACTGTTGATCAGTATGTTGTGAGACTGCGCCACCTAGCTGAATCTTGCGAATTCGAGGGTCTCTGCGAAAGTTTAATCCGAGATAGAGTAGTTATCGGTACCCGAGATTCAGCTACTCGTGACAGGCTACTTAGGGAACGCCCAGTCCCCAATTTAACAAGATGCATAGAGGCCCTAAGTGCCAGCGAATTGTCTAGAAAACACAAGGAGCAGCTTAAAGATGCAGTGAGTGATCCGCATAGTATCGTACACGCAGCAAACAAACGAGGTATTGGAAATAGAAAGCAAAGTCGACGTAATCGAGGACATGAATCAATGCAAAGTAACCAAGACAAAGCAAATGCAAAGCAATGCAAGTTTTGTGGCACCAATCACCCTTACGATAGAACTAAATGTCCCGCCTCAGGAAAAACTTGTCGTAAATGTGGCAAACAAGGACATTTTGCCGCTAAGTGTCTGGAAAAGAAACGTGTCTCAAGTGTGCCAGCCAACAAGGTACATCACACAAGTGTAACACCAGGATATGCAGAGGGTGGCGAGCCAGCATGTGAGACCGCATCTGACTCTGATGAGTCTATTTTTGTCACTAACGCGTTGGAGTTATTAGCAGAAACATCCTCTTTCATGGTACCACTCACACTTCAAACTGAGTACAGCCCTATCATCACAACTCAAGTAGATACAGGGGCAACATGTGCTATGTCATATACCGACCTCCTAAATCTATTGCACAGTGGGGAAGTCGAGTTGGACGCCCCTGGTGGGAAGATAAGACTCTACGATGGACGTGTGGTTGAGCCATTGGGATCTTACACCTTCTCAGTCAGCTTGAACAGTGGCTCCAAATGCGAGATATCCTTTGACATCTCGGTAAATGCTCCTTGGCCTATCGTAGACGGCAACACGTGCATCAAGCAAGGTTGGATATGTTTAGGACCAGACCAGTCCATTCACTCATTAAACAGTGAAAATTACGAACCCCTTTCATTTGACAAACTCATGAGAGATTTTGAAGATGTGTTCACTGGCCTGGGTTGCCTTCCGGGGGAGTATGACATAGAGATCGATCCAGACATCAGACCAGTTGAACATACTCCCCGACGTGTGCCAGTAGCACTCAAAGCAAAACTTAAGGAAAAGATCGATGAGATGGAAAAGCAAGGGATTATCGTCCAAGAAAACAAGCCGACCGATTGGATAAGCAACTTGGTAGCAGTGCAGAAACCAGGAAAGTTAAGAGTATGCATAGACCCTCGAGATCTAAATCGAGCTATCAAGAGGCCAAAGTACCAAATGCCTACAGTCGATGAAGTTTTGCCAATGCTAGCCAAGGCTAAAGTATTTACTATCTTGGACGCAAAGGAGGGCTTTTATCAAATAAAGCTAGGCAAAGAAAACTCCTCGGCTTACTACATTCTGAACCCCATTTGGTAGGTACCGGTATGTACGAATGCCACAAGGTATCAGCAGCGCACCAGAAGAATATCAGCGTCGTCAGAAGGAAGCACTTGGAGGTCTCAGTGGTGTAGAATTCATTGCAGACGACTTTCTGTGTTATGGCAGTGGAGAAACTATTGAAGATGCCCTAAAGGACCTTGACAGCAATTTACTAAACTTGCTGTATCGTGCTCGCAACATGAATTTGAAGTTAAACAAGAAGTTGAGGTTGCGGCTAGACCAAGTCACTTATATGGGTCATTCGTTCGCATCTGAAGGTCTTAAACCAGATCCCATGAAAGTGGAGGCCATTGAAAGCACGCCCCGACCAGACGACAAAAAAGCAGTCCAACGTCTTCTAGGATGTATCAACTATCTTTCCAGGTTAAGGCCAACAATTTCAGAAGTGTCTGAACCACTACGCAAGCTAACCGAGAAAAATACTGTGTCTGTGTGGGAAAGTCAGCAAGAAGAAGCATTCCAAACCATCAAGAATATGATCAGCTCGACACCAGTGCTCAAATACTATGACGTAGCCAGTGAAACCACTATCCAATGCGATGCATCAGAGTCTGGCCTAGGAGCCACAAATCTTCAGAACGGACAACCTGTGGCATTCGTATCAAGGTCATTGTCAGTTGTAGAACGCCGATATAAGGTAAAGTCTGTTTAAGAGCCTAGTGGCCCATTAGGCCGGTGCTTAACTCCGGTTTCTGTAGCATGAAGCGACTAGGAGTATTTCTACTCCCCCCTGGATGGGATGCCAGTCCATCGCAGGGTTAACCCCCAGCATTAAATTTGCCGGTACCCATTTATACACCTGGGTGAAGAGAGGCACTGTGAGAGTAAAGTGTCTTGCCTAAGAACACAACACAATGTCTCGGCCGGGGCTCGAACCCGGACCACTCGATCTGGAGTCGAGCGCAGCAACCATGAGGCCACCGCGCCTCCACAGAACGCCGATATGCACAAATAGAAAAGGAGTGCTTGGCGATAGTGTTTGCATGCAGCCGTTTCAATCAGTATCTGCACTGAAGAGAATTAACGATAGTGGAGACAGACCACAAGCCACTGGTCCCAATATTCCAGAAGTCGCTACACTCCGCACCAAAACGGCTGCAACGGATGCTCCTTCGACGACAAAAGTACAATCTTCATGTTAAGTACCTTCCTGGATCACAGATGTACATTGTTGATATGCTAAGTAGAGCTTACCTCCAAGCTGATCCCAGCCAACATGAAAACATCCCAGGGTATCAGATCTTTCAGCTCAGCCAGGAGCAATTGTTGTTTCAAGAGATTGCCAACATCAATCAAGTTCATTACATGCGTCTATCAGAAGGCACCCATCCGCAGATCAAACTATGCACAATCACAGATGCCACATTGCAAAGTCTCATGAACATGATTATGACAGGTTGGCCGCTTACTAAAGAGGAAATTCCAGTTTGTATCCGCCAGTATTGGAACAACAAAGAAGAGTTAACAGTTCAAGACGGAGTCTTGTACAAAGGAATGAAAGTGATTGTTCCTGCTTCTATGAGACCTCAAATGATTGCAAGAGCTCATTCCAGCCACCTTGGGCCTGATGCCTGAGCACGTCGAGCACGTGATGTGTTATTCTGGCCAAGCATGGCAGACCAAATCAAAGATCAAGTGCAGAATTGTGAAGTTTGCAACGACTTCTTAGCTAGACAACAAAAAAAACCGTTGATGACCCACAAAATTCCTGAAACCCCTTGGTCAAAGGTTGGACAAGATCTCTTCACCCTCGGTGATGAGAACTATTTAGTGACTGTTGATTACTTCAGCGATTACTTCGAGCTTGATCTTCTCAGTATCAGATACTACTGCAGAATCAGTGGTAAATGCAACCAAACGCCACTTTGCACGTCACGGCATTGCTGACATGGTAACAGATAATGGGCCGCAGTATTCCAATGCACATTTTGCCAAGTTTACTCGTGAATGGGAATTTCAGCACACTACAAGTTCACCATTACATAGCCAAAGCAATGGAAAAGCCGAGTCTTTTGTCAAAATTGCAAAGAATCTAGTAAAGAGGGCAAAGCGAGGTAACAAAGACCTCCAGATGTCCTTGCTCGAGTGGCGCAACACACCTGACAGTAATGGACCGGGCCCAGTCCAAAAATTGATGTCTCGAAGGACTAGGACTACCATTCCAACAAATGTAGCATTGCTGAGGCCAGAGGTCATAGATGACAAACATGCAAACATGCAAAATCATTGCCCGAGCTCCAAGTGGGAGAACCAGTAAGGCTTCACCTTGTAAATCCTAAAGTACCCTGGGAGAAAAGTTCATGTGTGGCAAAAGTTGGGCCACGCTCCTTTCTTGTTGAAACAGAGAGCGGAAACCTGTACAGACGGATAGATATAGATATAGATCAATTTCTATAGCGCATTTCCATGTAAATGCTCTAATGCGCTTTACAACACTGTGCGGGGGACTTTTCCAGACTGCCGGCGGCAGTTTACAATTAATAAAGGAGAAATTTTTACAGATGCCCCCTCCCCCCCTTCCCAGTAAACAGGCCAGACCACATCACAGTAATCTCGTGATGTGGGTTCTTTAACGTCCCTTGCCGAAATTAACTAATTGATAGGTGCAGGAGACGGGACCTCCGGCTTTACGTCCTATCCGAGAAGACGAAGCAATGTGAGTGAAGCGTCTTGCTTAAGGACACAACGTCAAGCCCCAGCCAGGACTTGAACCCGGGCCATCTGACCTAGAGTCCAGCGCACTGACCACTGGACTACTCACGCCTCACGGAATCGTAAGTTTATTCGTCAAGATCCTAGCCAAGAGCAGGCCTCACTAGATATCAGTGGCACAAATCCGTCGAGTCAGCCATCACCCAGTGCAGGGTCATTAGCCAATTCATTAACAGATGCCATGGCAGATCCTCCTTTGAATCAGGCACCAACTATGAGACAGATTCGTGGAAGTCCCCAGCTAAAGTCTACTGCAGAAGCGATTGTGACTTCGCAACCACAACAGACTGTTGTTACTCGAAGTGGTAGAATTAGTGTGCGCCCTTCCAGGTTGGATGACTTTGTCCCCTAGATACAACGAACTTTGAACTTTGAACATTGGTTGAGTTACTACTACAAAAAAAAACATTTTGGTCTTTCAATGTTGAGTCAGCTCTGTATGATCTTATTTCACATTCTATTTCACGTTCGCCCCTCATGTTTTATTGTTACAGAAAAAGGGAGATGTTATATGGAGTAGTTTTTGGGGCTTCCCCAGAATGTCTCAGGAGTTATTAAAAGCTCGGCTTCGTTTACTGTCGTTCGTCTCCTTGAGTATTGCCATCTTCTATAGTGATAAACAAATAGTACACAGTTTGCACACCAGAGGTAAGGGAAGCTTAGAAACTTCTTATTATGAAGACAGGTTCATACCTGTAATAAGTCGGCTATTCCAGAATTACTGGAAGAGTAAGCTTTTACCTGATTGAATGGGGAACTGTTACGCTTTTCTTAATTGCCTTGAGAAAGCCTATTTGGAACACTGTAGCTAAAGTACATTCGAAGCACTCTAATACGGACACAGTAGGTACAGAGCTATGTCTTCATGTAAGGGAGTTACCCATATTACAAAGGTCACTGACATGACTTTTTAAGAGTCCACTGACTCTCTTATGGCTCTTCTTAATTGTCTTCAGAAGCCTTTTTTGGGTGTCACGAAAGCTAAGACCTAAGTATGGAGGGGAATACTGGACAAAATTGTTATTAGATCGTGTGCGGTGAGGCATTATATCGTACTGCATGGTTATGTAGCCAGAGGTACTATATCGTACCCGGTATGTTGTCTTATCGTAATGGCGATGCCATTATGTCTTACCACATGCTGCTATATCGTGCCCGCTAATGCTACATCGTATCCGGTGTGTTGTTGTAACGTAGCAGAGATGCTGTCTCATCGTACCTGATAATGCTATATCCTAGTCGATAATGATATATCGTACCCGGTGTATTGCTACGTCGTAGCAGTGATGCCGTTTCGTCGTACCATAGGCTGCTATATCGTATCCAATAATGCTATATCGTAACCGGTGATGCTTTATCGTACGTCTAACTGGTCAGCGGCTTACAGTGAAATTGGCGCGAAACTGATATCACGTGTTGTAGATCGAGATAGTTCTCGATTTTTACTTCTTTTGAAACGCGGTGTTGGACAAGTAGAGATTTTTAGCTTAGTGTGTTTCTTTCCTCTAATCTATTGATATGTCAGATCAAGATCTCATAGCAAGAACCACATCTATTTTAAGAAACGAATTAACAGAGCTAGAGGCCACTTTAAATTCAAATAGGACCAATAATAACATTGGTGACCTGCATGGTGCAAGTGTCGGCTTATCGGCCATTCGCGATCGCGAACGTGCCTCGGATAACTTCAGGTGAGTAAATAATATGTCATTTATGAAGCTTAAGCTGAAGGTTCTTTATTTATGAAAAAGAAAATTGTAGCCTGCAGAACAAGCGTAATTTTTTGCCGTCTTTAGGCATACAGGCGAAGCTTTCTCTTCCCCTCGCGCGCCACTCGCGTTTGGCATTCGCCACGCTTTGGCCTCTGTTCACCTAAGACGCTAAAAAATTACGCCTGTTCTGTAGGCTACAATTTTCTTTTTCACAAATAAAGAACCTTCAGCATAAGCTTCATAAATGACATATTATTTACTCACCTGAAGCATCACCGGTTACGATGTAGCATTATCGGGTACGACATAGCAGCCTATGGTACGAGGAAACGGCATCACTGCTACGACGTAGCAATACACCGGGTACGATATATCATTATCGACTACGATATAGATTATCAGGTACGATGAGACAGCATCTCTGCTACGATACAACAACACACCGGATACGATGTAGCATTATCGGGCACGATATAGCAGCATGTGGTAAGACATAATGGCATCGCCATTACGATAAGACAACATACCGGGTACGATATAGTACCTCTGGCTACATAACCATGCATTACGATATAATGCCTCACCGCACACGATCTAATTACAATTTTGTCCAGTATTCCCCTCCATACCTAAGAACTAAGACCCCTTGAAAACTAAGACCCCTCGAGACCTAAGACCCCTCAAAAGCTAAGACCCCTCGAAACCAAAGACCCCTGGAAAGACTGGTTCAGGATTGTGGTTTTCGCGCTTGAAAAGCACTTCAAAACTAAGACCCTGTTTGAATTCATGGCCAATTATAGTGCAATTAAGTTACCCAACAATTGAATACAGTTTGAGTCACGACTTTTGAGAATTTCACAATAGTTCAATTCAGTCCTCAACACTTAGTTACTTACTGTATATGTTAAAGAATTCTCTTCATGTGCCATGTTTTGAGCGAAAGGCCATTCTGACTATCATGCTAGAAAATTTTGCTTTTGCAACAAAGAAAAAATTAGAAGACCCCTGAAAAATGCATTCTGAACATCAAGCACTGTTAATGGCCCCTGCGATTCAGTAGTTTGTTTCCCTCTTTTAAAGCTGTGGTACGTCCATCGCATGGTTGGTTGCTTGACGGCTGTGTGGGTTTTCAATATCTTCCAATGCTATTTATATATCATTGATGCAAATTGTAATTCACACCAGGCCGAACATTTTCCTGAAAAAGGTCTGCCCTGAAATACGAATTACCCATTTACCTCAATATCCAAGTGACATTGGATAATGTGACTCCATGGCTGATTGTATTTAGAAGGGATGGTAAGACCCAAAAATCAACATTTGGTCATACATGCCGCAAGTTCTAAATATGCAGATATGATGGTCTAATCAAAGTTCATGTAACTAATGACCCCATTGATCCGGCTAAAGTTTTTTTGCACCACAGAAAAGGACTTATGACAAGGTGAGAACTGACCTTACAAATCACAACATATCCAACATATCAAACGTGCCAAACATATTATGGAAAGTTACAAAAACTCTACCATGGGAAAGAAGATGAACTGAGCTGGTCATGAATTGTTGTCATTTAACACTTTACTGCTCAAGAATACTTGAAGAATACTACCGGATGTCACACGTGAGAGCTGCGATCAGAAAAGCTTATCCCGGCAAAAAATTGCGTTTAAAGGTTCCTGAAAATTGAAAACGGGCAACTTATACTAGCAGAATATGTTAAAACAGCCTTTTGCTTGAAACGTATACATCAAAAGCATTCTCTGCTGCGTTGACGTAAGGCACTGTTAATTATGTACTTGGTAATTCAGGCCCTGTCCACACTAATGCATGGTGAATTTTATTTAATGAGGAAAGAGAAACAGAAAGCTCACTTTTTCTTTCTGAATTAAACAGACGGTGTAAATTTAGCAGTGAAAAGTTTACTTATCTATATTCAACATTTAATTTTGCAGCTCAATAGCCTGCGTGTAATCACCTCAAGTAAAATTCACGATCTCCCAAGTTGTAGCTCCTCCAGATTGTAAAGATCACCTTGGCTTGGGCGTAAAACATGCACAAGAGTACACAATCCTGGCTTAAAATCAATGACATTTTGAATTACCAGTTATGTAAAGGACATGAACACCAAATTAGTAAAGTTGCCTGTCAACTGATTATCCCTCTTTCCGTAAAGGAAATGTGCAGTCAGTTTTTTTGAGTTGAAGAGTTGCCATGTGGAAGCTTTTCTAGAAATAATAATTTTACAGACTCAACAGCAAGATTTTTGCATTGTTTTTATCCAAACAATTCTGCAAACTATTTAATAGGCAAATGAGGAACATGCTTGTTTACATATGCTTATCTAAATGAAAGAAGGGTTGGGATAATTCAAGAAAATTATGTAAACTTTTGGGAATTCTCCCAACCTTTCAGATGGCTTGCCCTGCACTGACTGGCCAACTATGTTTGACTGCTTGGCAGACTTAGACTGATTAATTGACAAACTGAATGACAGAAATGCTCTAGGTGATTAGCAGAGTTGGTAAGTGACTATGTGACATTGTGAGTGACTTTATGTCATCATAGACTACCTGACTAACAGTCTGACAGACCGACTGTCCAACTGATTGACTTATTGACTGATTGGTCAATGGACTGATTGATGAATTATCTGATTGAATGAATACTTGACTGACTTTCTGATGGACCATCTGACTGACAACTGACTGACCAATCAAATGACTGATGAAATGACTGAATGGCTAACTGTCAAACTAAGCAAATTAAGTGACAGCCTGAGTAAGTGACAGATTGACAGACCAATTTAAATCTAGTGGACTAACAGACTGGCCATTACATGCATCCCTTGTGCAGGGAGTTCTTATAACATTTGTTTTCTATTGAAAATGCACATGGGGCCATATGGGTAATAACTCATCATTCTCAATGGCAATGGTTGGTATTAAAACAAATGAAAATTGATATTTCTTTCTTCTGTAGGTGGAATAGATAATGCAGTGTACAGGAAAGGGAATGAAGTGCATTCTCACCCATATTGGAAGATAGTTCCCGATAATTCAGGTGAGAAAACTGATATAGAATATTTGTCTGAGCTATTTATAAATTTAGGGAAAATGCTTATATCTAGACTTTCAAATATGTAGATTCAGGGATAGACTAAAGGAAGACTTGCTATAAGAGAAATGTTTTGAAAATTGAAGATTTTTAAAATTTTAAAATGCTGCTGTTCACAAATTACATATGACTGCTGCAAAGGTTGACCCAAGTTCCAGATTTTTCAGGATTAAGAAGCTCAGTGGCTGCTTCACTAAGTTTTTTAGAATTCCTTGTGGACTGACTGATTGATTGATGCACTGAAAGCTTGGAATGCTTACCATCTCACTAGTTAGCTGGGTGATTGGCTGTGTAACAAAACTTGCCGGTTGGTTGACTTACCAACTAAATGTCTGACGTACTGACCTATCGACTAACCAAGGGACTGAATGAGTGATGAAATAAGTGTTTCACAAGTTGACTGAACAGCTGACTGACTGGCAGAATGAATTACTGTCTAATCAAATGACTGATGGACTGACTGAACAGCTGATTGAACAACTGACTGACTGAATTATTGAGTGACAGGGTGACAAGGTGACAGACCGACTGATGAGGTGGTGAGTGACTGACTACTGGACTAAGCGACTCACTGACTATTTGACTGACATGTGGATGACTGGCAGACTGAATCAGTAGCTGACTAATGGTGAGGTAAAGGTAAAGTCTGTTTACGAGCCTAGTGGCCCATTAGGCCGGTGCTTAACTCCGGTTTCTGTAGCATGAAGCGACTAGGAGTATTTCTACTCCCCCCTGGATGGGATGCCAGTCCATCGCAGGGTTACCCCCAAAAATTGCCGGTACCCATCCATTTATACACCTGGGTGAAGAGAGGCATTGTGAGAGTAAAGTGTCTTGCCTAAGAACACAACACAATGTCCCGGCCGGGGCTCGAACTCGGACCACTCGATCCGGAGTCGAGCGCACTAACCAAGAGGCCACCGCGCCTCCAGCTGACCAATGGTAACATAAATATGTAAGGAATAGCCTGAGTTGACTGTTGAACTGACTTTTGCATTGAATAAGTTACTGACATGATGACATACAGCGTGACTGACTGACAGATAGAGTAAGTGACTGACTGATTGAATGACCGACTCATTGATGGATTTACGGTGGTGTGTGGATAACTGCAGGCCAACGTAGGAACTAGTAGACTGACCAGGTAATTAATACATGAATGACTACAGTGTAGCTGACTGAGAGAATGAAAGACAGAGACTAGATGGCTGAATGACTGACAAATGGCAAAAGGACCCACTGGTGGACTGACTGGCTGACTGCAAGAGTGAGTGACTTACTCAGTGACTGCCTAACTGACCTTATGGCCAGATGGCTGACTGATGTAGTGTGTGATTGATTGAGTGACTGAGCAACTGACCTATTTGCCAAATTACCAACTGGAGGACTGACTTCCTGACTGACTGAATCAGTTAGTAACTGACTCAGTGACTGTCTTCTAACTGACAGCCAGACAGCTGACTGACTCAACCGATTTGTTAAATTAACAACGGGTGGACTGATCCACTAACCAACTGTCTGATTCACTCAAGTAATTGTTATCTGGATAAATTACGTTATGAGTTACTAGGTTGTTGATCAATTTGGCTAAATTGTTTTCAACATGATAAATTTTTAAATTTGTTTATATCAGAACTGTTTGTCAGGCAATTAACTAGTCAGTCTTGAGGTTACAGGCATCAGAGAAGCAGATGAGATAAGAAAAAGATGGTTTTAAATGGTCACGATTTAGATGGGATCTACCTCATTAGTTTACCTTGAATGATCCCAATACAGTACAGCTTAGGATGAAGAATCAAGCTTTGAGTTGAGACAGTCAACTTACCTTTGAACGGTACTGTAGTTTGGGTCAGCCTCGTTATCAAATAAGTTTTTTTTTCTAGAAAAGGTGTTTAATGGGTGGGCTTTGACTCGTCGTTCTTTGTTCTGTCACAAAATAAATGACTTTGAAGTAATGCAATGATAATTTGCGGAAATTTAAAAGGTTTCCGTTTAGAAACAGTTACTGTTCTTAAGTTTTTACTTCCTCCATTCTTTCTCGTCCAAGCCCAATATGAATAGAGGGTCAAGGAAGAGGAAATTCCCTTTTGTGCCATATGTTTTCTTTTTTTTTTTTTTTCATAGAAGTCCACAAGTGAGCATGTCTAAATGTGTTCATTGTCGTTGAACATCGAATTATTTTCGGTTTTAAAACGAAGATCAAGGGAGACGAGAGGACTATATTTGCGGGTGAGTATAATTGATGTTATTAAAAACTGGATCATTGGATAAGGCAATTCAAGACTTTTTATTTGCTTAGCCATTATGGTATTTGAGCCGATATACCATAATCTAATATCTGTACATTGTAACATCCGGTTTCTTCTTACAAAATAAAGTCGAGAAGATTTGCCTAATATTTTGGGGGCGTTTTTTTCAATAAAACAATTATTCCACTCGCGCCTCGTTGGCTATCTATCATCTCATATCCACCAAGCGCAAGTGGAATAATTGTTACTTATATGAAATCTGGGTAATTCTGTAGAGGTAATAACCTTCGCATCTGCAGATGTTTTTAGTGTGGTTGAGCAAGAAATTGTTTTTAATTTCAACCAGAAATGTTGAATTCTATAATATTTCTCTCATCAGTTCTACCGCAAAGAATACAAGTTTAAAGAGAAGTGATACCTTTATTTACCCTCGGCAGTGTTTATAGCACAAGTGCTAGTGGGGCCGAGCAAACAACTGAAACAAATCATTCTAATAGAACATAACAGAAGATCAACAAAGGAGAAAAGAATCCTATACATTTGGTGAGTGTAGCTGATGAGTTATTTAACCCATTAACGTTAAAACATTAGTGTAATTCCGTAATGGTTTCGACATTTTGAAGCCTTGTAAACCTTCTAACTTTGCATCTTCGGACTACATTAATTCTCGTTCAGCAGTAAATCATAAGTTGTGGATTGTTTTCTAAAAGTTGCTCGCTTATTTTTGCTCTTCTAGATACCACAAAGAGTACAAGTTTAAAAGGAAGGTCAAGGAAGACGATAATACTGTCCGTAAATATCAGTCTTGGAGAGGATTTCGATTTGTTTCAGCGTTTAGGAATTCTACTTCGTTTCTATTTCTGAAAATGTATTTTAGAGGTACGATTTGAAGAGGAAAAAAAGCAAAGAAGAAACGAAAAGGTCAGGGAAGTGTTTGCGTTGAAGAGAAGGAGAAATTGGTCAACAATACACTCCAAATTCTCGCACGTAAGACTTGCTCACTTACACATTACAGTCAGCCAGGTTTTGATGAGATTATTTTACAAATTTATTGTGCATTCATTATTATAATAATTACAGAATAAAGGAAGGCATAAAAAATGGGGGGAACCCGTCCACCACCCCCTACCTCTATCTTATTTTATAGATATTATGAAAATGACCATCTCATACAAGTGACTAAGAGAAATGTCAACCCTGGAAGGAAAGAAAAAATCAGGGGTCGCCAGACGCATGCGTTTGTTATAAATGCATGCACCACAAAGTAGATAACTTTGAGAAAGTCTTAAGAAAGTTATTTGAAGGTCGGGCGAGGTGGTGGAGGTTAGTTGGGTGAATAATGAAACTGTCTAAAAGTAATCACTGTTGTAAAATCAATGTATTATAAGATTGTAAGAGGAAGATTGTTATTTTACTATTGTAATATACATGTATATTAAAAGATTGTATTGTAATTTTGTAGATGTTTATACCACAGGGTAGATGACTCCTATCAAGAGTTTCGAAAACTGACTAAAATGGGCGACTAACGGGAAATGTCAACCTTCGAAGAAACGAAAACTTGAGGTCATTGAAACATTGCGCACCATAAGACTTAGAAAATGTTTCTTCAAAAATACAAGTTATCTAAGAGCACCACAAGGAAGGATTTGACGAAAGTTTTCAGACTCCCAACTTTAGACTTCTTTTCAAGGTTGAAGGTTTTCTTTGGCCCCTTTCGTGAAGGGGACAGTGCTAAATGCTGATGACCGACATGGGGATGGCACACGGTGTAACCCCCACTTTGTTTGAGGTGGTCAAGTAATTTTTAGTTGAGACGGTTCGCTTTCGATATAGACTCTAATGTCTGTTTTTACGACTCACAGTTAAACTTTTTGTCGTTTTACGGCTAATGGTTAATTTTTTTCAGTTACGGAAAATTTTTACACTTAAATATTTTTTTCGACCAACGGTAACGATTTGTCAATTTTTACGGCTAACAGCTATATTTTGTGCCGTTTTACGGCTAGCGGTTAGCCGTATTGAGACCCTCTTAGAACTTAAAAATCTATTGGTCATGGAAAAAGAAATTATTTTACAGCTGAGATAAAGAAAGGGAAAAAAGGATAAATTCCCTTTTAGATACTCCTAGGATTTAAAGCGTGAAAAGATGGCGATCTTGGAGTATTTTGACATTAACCAACGAGAGCGGAGATTTTTCGGTCACAGCCAACCCCTTTTTTTGTCAACTATTCGTCAACTCTTCCTAAGTCTACGATCCGTTCAGTACATGCAGACAGCCCAATTGTCGAAACAGGTCCCCCTTTTTTTTTGTTGGATCAAGATCAAGACTAAAGGAAGAGTTTTGTTGGGTGAAGCTGACCCCTGTATGAGTCGGTTATTGGTAAACCATTTCAAAGTCGACGATCCGTCCAGTGCAGCAAGACAGTCCAGTTTCCGAAACAGTTTTCACACTCTTCTCTTTGTTTTTTGGTGGAATAGCCTTAGCATCCCAGATCAAGATTAAGGAAGAGATTTTATGGGTGAAGCTGACTCCATAAGGGCGCAGCTGTTGGCCACCCATCTCTTGTACACAGTTCAAGATCTGTTAAGTGCAACAAGACAGTCCAGTTTCCGAAATAGTTTTCACACCCTTCTCTTTGTTTTTTGACGGACCAAATCTTAGCATCAAAGATCAAGACTGAGGAAGAGACCTTAAGGGTGAAGCCAACCCCACTGTGGGTCAGCTATTAGTCACCTGTCTCTTGTGCACAGTTCAAGATCCGTTCAGCGCAGCAAGACAGTCCAGTTTCCGAAACAGTTTTCACACCCTTCTCTTTGTTTTTTGGCGGACCAATTCTTAGCATCTGAGATCAAAACTGAGGAAGAGACTTTAAGGGTGAAGCCAACTCCATTGTGGGTCAACTATTAGTCACCTGTCTCTTGTTCACAATTCAAGTCGGATCAGCGCATTAAGACAGTCCAGTTTCCGAAACAGTTTTCACACTCTTCTCTTTGTCTTTTGGCGGACCGAGTCTAAGCATCCGAGATCAAGACTGAAAAAGAGACACTAAGCGTGAAGCCAACTCCACTGGGTCAGCTATTAGTCACCTGTCTCTCGTATACAGTTAAAGATCCGTTGAGCACAGCAAGACAGTCCGGTTTCCACATACTTCTCTTTTGTTTTTTTTTTTTTCAGGAACCAAGTCTCAGCATCCCAGATCAAGACTACGAAAGAGGCTTGCTGGGTGAAGCTGACCCCTTTAAGGGTCAGCAATTACTCCCCTGTCCTTTGTACAAAGTCCACGATCTAATTAGCGCATATACAAACAGTCCTATGGCCTTTACATCTTTTCTCTCTCTTTGTTGGACTAAGTCTTTGAATCATAGATCAAGAATAGAGAAGACGTTTTTTGGTTGAAACCAACTCTTTTGTGGGTCAGCTATTATTGACACATGCAGACAGTCTTATAGCTTAAACACCCTTTTTCCCCTTTTTTTAGATAAGTCATAATCATTCTCACTTGCATCTTTACAATGGCTTTCTCCGCAATGAGAAAAAATCTTTCCTATCCTATGCAATCATTGAAGGACAGAAAGTCCGTTGGGTAGTTAGTGAGTCAGTTTCCTGATAAGCAAGTGAGCCTCTTGCTTAGTCAGTCAGTCAAGTAGCCTGTCTGCCAGCCAACTTATCATTCAATTCTCAGGTCATCTAGTCAATTTGCCAAACAGTTAATCAATCAATCAGTCAGTTGAATTGGTTGGTCAGTCAGTCATTAAGACAGCCAGTAAGCCATTGGTCTTTCAAACAGCCTGTCAGCCAGAAAGTTAATCATTCAACCCTTCTCTCACTCAGTCAACCAATCAGTCAACCAATCAGTCAATCAATCAGTCAATCAATCAATCAATCAGTCAATCATTCAGCCATTAAGCTGATGAATCAATGAAACAGTCAGTTACATGGTCACATGAAAGTCACATGGTAAATCAGTAAGCTTGTCAGCCAGCCCATCAGTTACTTAGCAACTAAAACAAGTGTCAAGTCTGAACTTGTATCAAATTCTGTAGCATAATTTGTAGAATTATTTAGATTTTTAAAACTCCATACCCATTAATTGGAAAGGTAAAGTTTTACTTAGTCTAGTTATTTTTTAAATCAATTATTTTTAGGCTACTTGAAAATCTTTTTGGATCTGCCCACCAATTCACTGAATCAAGATGGTTACCTGAATAACTCAGTGCCATCTTCTGATACATTGTCAAGGGATCAATCCCCTTTTTTTCTAGTATCTTTGCAACAATGTGTCCCAGAGTCTTTAATTTTTCCTTCCTGAAAAAAAGTTCACTCATGGGACTGTTAAAGGGTTAACAATATTGAGAACTCCAGTTTCCACAATATAAAAAGCAATTAAGAGTGGACACTCAGCTGTGATATATTTGAGATTTCAGTAAGTCAACTAATAAAAGAACAACTCTACAAATGAATATTATAATTATGATAGTTATTCAATTGCCATAAATCCTCTATTGAGCCCCCTCTAATAATCCATCCCCCTGTAATAAGCCCCCCTCTAATGACCCATCCCCCTCTAATAAGACCCCCCTCTAATAACCCATCCCTCTCCAATAAGCCCCCCCTCTTTAGAGGAAGAAATTTATGAAGCCCCCCCCCCTCATCCCTCCCCATCAAAAAACAAAAATTCAGAATAACACTCCATGTCAGTAAGTATGATAAATTTATTCAAGTACTGGAATTTTAGTTTGTCATTTAAAATTGATTATGGTGATTCATTGATGTTATCATGTGGGCATCATAGAATACGGTAAACGGAATTACAATTTTGTAAATGAAAAAATGTAAAATGAGAATAATTTTTTAATAAATACCATACATCATATCATATTGTATCCTGGTAGTGAACATTGGGCTAAATAAATAAGCTCCTCCCCCTCTATCAAGCCACCCCCCGAAAGTACCTGAAATAAATAAGCCCCCAGGGGGCTTCTTAGAGGATTTATGGTAGTAATTAAAATTACTTTCTATGCTTTTCTTATTTGTTATTCATTTGTTATTGTAGGTTTGTCAAGCAGTCTACATATAGTGTACATATAATGTTAGCTTGTAAACTTAATTATATTATTTTGCATTTTTTGTTTTGTTTTATTTTGTTTTTGTTTTTGCTTTTTGTTTCATGTCATGTACACAAGATGTTTAACACACATGCACAAAAAGAAATGATCAAAGAGTATACTTTTCTATCAATGGGTCAGTCAATGATCAGGCCCGAGATCATTCAGTCAATCAATCGGTCAATTAGCCTGACTGCCAGCCAATTATTCACTACTAGTCATTCTGTTAATCAACTCAGACAACCAATTAAACAGTCAATCACTGCCAGTCATTCAGATAATTTGGATATATCAACAAAGTTGAAATGGTAAATTGGCCACCGTAATGATTACAAAAGCTGACGTTTCGAGCGTTAGCCCTTCGTCGGAGCGAAGCCCTCTTCGTTAGCCCTTTGTCGTTAGCCCTTCGTCGTTAGCCCTTTGCTCCGACGAAGGGCTAACGCTCGAAACGTCAGCTTTTCTAATCGTTACGGTGGCCAATTTACCATTTCAACTTTGTTGATATATCCAAATTATCTCGTTACCCCCACCGTCGCAGCCCCAAACAGTTTCTTTAGAAGCTATCAGCCTTTAGTCATTCAGATAGCCAGTCACTCAGCTCAGTCATTCATGTGGCCATTTGTTTGGTTTAAAATGCCTGTCAGTCAGCTATTCGATTACTCAGCAACTACAAAATCTGGACAGACTAAGTATAAAACTTAAGGAAAAGATTTTGGTGTAATCTTTAATTTTTTTATAATCTTTAAACTCCAGTCAAACCTGTATTAAGCGGTACCCTTTTAAGCTTTTACTCTGTGATAATTAGTCGGTTATCAAGTTCCCTTACCTTTTTCCCCCTGACAGTAATTTTCACCTCTTTTAAGGAATGAACTCTATTAAGCAGTTGCAGTCACCCTTTACTGAGTCAATACCCAAATAGAGCTAAGAATAATCTTTCAAGTAAGATACAATCGATGTTTATCTCCTGAAATCAATGTTAGCAGTATTTTTTAGCAAGTTCTTGTATATTAAGAGGTCAGTTATGGGATAAAATGGCATATTTAATTGTTTTGTAACAGTTATAACACCCCTATTCTGTGGAACGGCCATTCTTGGTGGGTGACTGCTTACCGGTAATAAGGGTTTGGACATAATTGCGCATCCCTTAAATTTCAAATAAAAAAGTCTACTGAATCAGATGAACATGTTGCTTCACTTTTGAGCTAAAGTTATTTGGATCAGCTCAGTTCTTCATTTTCTTTTTTCCCAAATGCATATCACTGAACGCAGCATTGAAAATATATGTGC